AAAAAAAAAAAAAAAAAAAAAAAAAAAAAAAACTTTTGGGAAAGGAAGTGTCATGTATGAATAAGGAACCTATTTCAGCCTCGTGCAAAGCACCAACCATTAGGTGCCTCCCTCTCATCTGTAGTGCCTGGCTTGTTTTGCTCAGACCTGATGAAGAAATGTCTTGGATTCAAAAGCTTGTCTAACACTATCCAACTAGTCCAATAAAAAACATCATCCTAAGAAATCCTTGCTTCGCTCTCTTATCTAGCATTTTTCCAAATGACACAGAATAAACGCACATCCTGTATTCTGAATATGAACAGAAAAGACTGCAAGCAGGGAAGGGACAACTGCACTTCTAGTTATACAGCTGGCTGAGGAGTGAGGTCAGCTATTGCTATGGTCAGCCTGCAGGATATTTTCTATTAGATTTGTAGGGATGAATGGAGAGTGTGGAGTTTAAGACAGGGTTGCCAACTGTCCCTAAATTTATGGGCAGTCCATAAATAAGAAGCCTAAAAATGGCTGTCCATAAAGTCTGTTTAAAAATTGGAGCCATCTGGAAAAACAGAAAGCAATGCTGCTTGATGGTCTGTGAACCAGGCTTGATGTTGAATAAGCCAATTGGTGTTCAAACAAGTACAGCACCCTATATGGAGCTGTTTCAGGGCTCTTGCCCATGAGTTTCCACAGTCATCTCTACCTCCAAACCACGTGTCTGCTTTAACATCCATTCTCCTGGCCGCAACACCACTGAGTTGTAGCTGCAGGTGTGCAGGCCAGGGCTGAATGGGAAGCAGGTGGTGTGGCTGGGACAGAGCTGTGAGATGGTGGGTGGGTATCTGTGCCAGGGGAGGAAGAGCGGGGCTAGCAGAGGAAGGCCAGGGGTGGGGGTGAGGGGGCAGGCTAGGGGAGCAGCATGGTGCAGTGCAGTTGGGGATATCAGGGTGTGAGAGTGAGTGGGTGACCCCTGCGGTGGGAGCAACAGGGTGTCAAACTTGCATTCTGCAGACTTCTTACTGTGTGATAACCAATTTGTTTCTTTACATTATGGTTGGTACTGTATTCCTAAATTGGAAACCAGCCCATCTCTAGGTCCTGGCAGAAGGGTTCCACATTTATCTTAGACAAAACATATCCTAATAAAAAGGCTTGCACACTATCAATGAAAAGGAAAAAATTGTGAGTTTGGCAACTCTGTTCAGGGTCTGGCTATGCTCTCCACCTCTCACTACCCCCATCTGGAAGATGCTATTGAAATGCAATGAAACCTGAGTAGATACATGACAGCCCATAACTTGGCGAAAGGAAAAGTTTAGCATCTTCACTTGGACTAAAGGAAAATGTGTCGATGTGCATGTTTGTGTATGCAGGGGAAGTGGGAACAAGGGAGCAGATATTAAAAAATGAAGATAGTTGTTTGCATGATCAGAAAAGGTCATAAAAAGCAAACATATAAAGTGAGCTGAAGGGAATATTAGCTCCCTAACTAATAAAAAAAGAAAAAAAAAAAAAAAAAAAAAAGCAGGTCTCCTTCATCTGAAATAGCTGAGAGTGATACCAGCTGTGCTCTAAATGAAGAAGTGAAACCTACTATCATCACTGCATTATTTGAAATTTTGATATTATACCTGAAAAAGTAGGAATCAAACATACCACCTAAACCAAATATGAAATATGTATCATGTACATGCCTGGAACGTGTATTCAGAATGGTACAGAAAGACTGCCAGAACTCTTCCATCCCTTTGACCACTACCCCTTCCTGCTTGTCCAGGTAGGTACCAATAATACTGCCAGGAACAGCACTGAACAGATCAGATGAGTCTATGAGACTCTCAGAACCAGGATTAAGTTGCCTGCAGCACAAATTGCGTTCTTATCAATCCTGTCACTGGCAGGCAAAAGTAGAGGCAGGCACGTCATACCATGGAAGTAAAAGAACGGCTGAGAGCGGTGTTGATGTGAAGGCTTTTGATTCCTTGATATCAGATGGATGGTCTGGGAAGGAGTGCTGCTATCAAGAGATGGAGTCTGTCTAACCAGAACTGGGAACAGCAACTTTGGGCCTCATCTGGCCAGTCCAGGAAGGAGGGCTTTCAACTACGTTCCACAGGGGATGGTGAACAAAGCCCTCCAGCAACAGAGCAAACAACGCAGAAGGGAAAGGACTGGAAGCAGGGAACAGGCCAGGGAGCCACAGGACAGCAACAAATGATGCAAAAGAGAAACAAATAGGTAGGAATGCAAAATATGTCCAATGTATTTATACATATGTGAGAAGGATGGGGAAGACGCAGGGTGAGCTGGAAGTTGCAGCCTGTGAAAAGTATTGTGAATGGATTGGTATCACAGAGACCTGGTGGGACGACTCCTGGGTGGAATTGAGGGCTCCACTCAGTTTCAGAAGTACAGAGTTGGGGGGAAAAGCGGTGATTTTGCCAATTTTTACAACACAATGTGCTTTTGGCTTTTTTGGAACAAGAGCGCACTGTTGGCGTCTATTCAGCTTATGACCCACTTACCCCCAGTTCCTCATCTAAAGTACTGCAGACTAGCCAGTTATTCCTGGTCTGCGTTTGTGCATGGATTGGTCTACCCTAATTGCAGGACCCCAAATCTGTCCTCCTTGCACTCAGTTGATTTTGGACCATGTCCCCCCCTTATCCAAGTCATGAACCCAGGCCAGAGCATTTACAGAGCATCTCCAGAGCATCCACAACATCACTCAGCTACATTTCAACTTGAAATCTGCCAAGTCTGATGAAATTCTCACCCTTTACCACATCTAATTAATTACTAGCAACCTTTAATTATGTGA